GGTAGCCAGGCACCATCTAGTTGTACTGGACTCAGTCTGGTGGAAGCCGTGGTAGTTGTGGTCCATTAGTCCTTTGGATTAATCTTTCCCTTGTATCTTTAGTTTTCTTCATTCTCCCTTGCTCGCAAAGGGGTGAGACCAGTGGAGTATCTTAGATGTCCGCTCTTAGGCTTTTAAGACCCCAGACGCTACTCACCAAAGTAGAATGTAGAACATTTTCTTTATAAGCTATGTTATGCCAGTTGAGCTAGATGTTCCCCAAGGCCACGGTCCCCACAGACCCCATCCCAGTAATTCTGTCCCTCAGCGAGTTTGGATGTGTCTATGGAGCTTCCATGACCTTGTCTTGTACAAGTTGTGCTGGCTTCCCCAGTATTGTGTACTGTCTTACCCTTTACCAAAGTTACCAGTTATCTAATGTCTATTTAGTGTTTTGGAAAATACATTTTGGTGAAAGTTTTGCTAAGCACTCTAACCCAGACTACTGGAAGTCTTAAGTGGATGTGCTCAAGTGTGCAGACTGAAGATATTCACAGCAGAAGTGTGTGTTAGATATATTAGTAGCTACTATTTATTGACCATCTACTGTATGCTAGATGCTTTATACCCATCTTTTTAAAAATGTCCACAGCAGCTCTTCAGAGTAGAAACTGTTATCCCCATTTTACAAATGAAGAAACTGGGCAAAGAGGTTAAACATCTTTCTCAAGGATTTACAGCTCTAAAAGAAAAGAGGATTCAACATCTGAGGTTCTTTCTACTATGCCAGTTTGCTAGTTTCTATTTTTTAAAGTAAGTGCACTTCAGAACACCTTAGACAAGCTATTTTTTTAAACTATCTAAATTACTTTAAATCATTGTTGTCAGGTCGATTCCACTCACGGCGACTCTGTATATAGCCCAGAGAAGAGCTGTCCCATAGGGTTTCCAAGGCTGTAATCTTTCAGGAAGCAGACTGCCACATCTTTCTCCCACAGAGCAGCTGGTGGGTTCGAACTGCTGACTCCTTTACTTTCCAAAACCAAATCAAATCCACTGCCGCTGAGTTGGTTCTGACTCACAGTGACCCTACAGGACAAAGTCGAACTGCCCCATAGGGTTTCCAAGGCTGTAAATCTTTATAGATGCAGACTGCCACATCCTTCTGTGGTGCCTGGCGGGTTCGAACTGCCAACCCTTCTGTTAGCAGCCGAGTGCTTTAACCACTACGCCACCAAGACTCCTTCACATGTGTAAAAATTAATAAAATAAAAATATGAGCCTCCAATTCCTTGATTCAGAAATTTCACGAATTCACACTTCCTTTCTTACAATTTGTCTGAATTACAAAGAGGTCACAATATCTGTTAATGGTTTTGGGAGACAGGCAAGACAGCAAGAATATCAGAGCCATGGTAACTTCTATTTTCTTCTTATGTGCAGGACTGATCTAAAGACCCTAAGCACTTCTGTCCCTTCCCTCCTGTGACCAGGAGCTCTAGCATTGCTGTCTTTTGTCTCCAAAGCAATTGTTGACTAATTGCTAAGCTCTTCTGTCTTCTGTTGTCATGAACTGTCTAGTGGATTCTGGCTCATAGTGACCCTATATGACAGAGTAGAAGTGCCCCCATAGGGTTTCAGAGGCCCACATCTTTATGGGAAGAGATCTCCAGGTCTTTTCTCCCACAGAGCTGCTGGTGGGTTCCAACTGTTGACCTTTCAGTTAGCAGCCAAGTGTTTAATCATTGCGCTACCAGGGCTCTTATTAGGAAGGCTCTACAGGACCATTATGGATAAGATCCTGAGGAAAAAAAGAAGCGTGTTATATTTGTTTGTATACTATTATGTTTCTCCTTTTCTTCTTTATCTTCAAACAGAATCCCAACTCTATAAGACCTACAAATTATTCTGCTCTCTGGGTTTAATACAGCATAAATAAAACATTCTTTTATTTTCCTGTCAATTTTGGAGTTGGCCTCTTTGTGATATGTAGTATATGATGTTTCTAAAACATTTGGAAGCACATTCTTTAAACAAGGCACATTTATTTTCAGCAAATTGGGAAAGCTATATTATTTTATGCACCCTGTAAAAATTTCACACACAGACTTTTATCAGTATAACTTTTCCTAAGAGACAATAAAATAAGCAGGCTCAATATTATTTTCCACATGTTAATGAGCTTAACTTGTTGCTTTCTCAGTGTAGATGGGCAAAGTTTATTTAATAAAAGGCCTGTTGCTAACTGCTGTTGAGTCATGGCGACCCCATGCACAACTGAACAAAACACATCCTGGTCATGCACCATTCCAATGACCCATACGATCCATGAGGTTTTTTCACTGGCTGATTTTTGGAAGTAGATCACCAGGCTAATAAAGAAAAAACTTGATTTTTTCTCTCCAGGCATCCTGCGACAATGAATTGGGGCGGGGTAATCAATTTATATTAAAGACAAAAATTCTCAAGGCAAACATCTCACGTATTAAATTACCATCTTTTGGGGAACTCCAGAGAGAGGTTTTTTGGAAACCTTGGTGGCGTATTGGTTAAGTGCTATGGTTACTAACTAAAAGATCAGCAGTTCCAGTCTACCACACGCTCCTTGAAAACTCTATGGGTTAGTTCTACTCTGTGATATAGGGTCACTATGAGTCGGAGTTGACTTGACGGCAACGGGTTTTTGTTGTTGTTTACAGAGGTTTGGGAAAAACAATGTTTTGAATCAAAATAGAATGTGAAGTAAATTTTACCTCAGAAATTTTAACAATGGAGAATATCAATCTGAAAAGAAGCTAAACTGTCGCAAAATCACAGTTTCGAGTTTAATTCTGCCACCTGACATCCATCCTTGAATAGTTCGTGATGGGTTTCCCCAAAATCAACATCAGCATCTCAAAGTTCTTCATAATCCAGATTTGCCTCTTTAAAGCCCCAGTCACACTGTCAACTTACGTACTAAATTGCCCATTCTAATAATGCAGCGACGAAGAATACATTTTTTACAGCAAGGAGCAATACTATAATTAACTCCACAGTGATCAACTCTAATCGACTTAGGCCAAAGAACCATAACAAATCAAGATAACTGAAAACTGGGCTTGATTCATTTCAGCCTGCACTCAGTATCTGAATTTATCAGACAACTAACTGCCTGTTGAACCTCCTCTCTTACCTAGGCTATTAGAGATCCTTTCCCACAATGTATTACATCAGCTTTGTTTCTCTGTGGGGCACCTTAAAAATCATGTTTATCTATCTATCCATCCATCCATCTACCAGTTTTACCGAGTGCCCAAAAAAAACAAAACCATTGCCATTGAGTCAATTCTGACTCACGGTGACCCTACAGGACAGAGTAGAACTGCTCCATAGGGTTTCTAAGGAGCCACTGGTGCATTCAAACTGCCGACCTTTTTTGGTTAGCAGCCGAGCTCTTTACTGTGCCACCAGGGCTCCACTGAGTGCCAAGTGTATGCAAAAAGCTCTGTAACAGTCCGGTATAAACAACAATAGTTTGGATGATCAAGTATCTCTGAAAAACTAAGAAACAATACACAGGATTATATGACTAATGGACAATTCAGTTATAAACAAATTAAGTAAAGCAGGTCATCAGATCTTTCTCCCGCAGAGCCGCTGGGTGGATTCGAACTACCAACCTTTGCATTAGCAGCCGTGAGGGCTCCTTCCATCTCCCTCTGAATCCTTTTAAATGCCCAATGCAGCTATGTGCCCTCTGAATTCAGCTGTGTGACCTTAGGCAAGTTACTTCACTTCTCTGGGTCCAATTTCCTCATCTGTAAAATGATAACATTTCACGATTCTATGAATTAAAACACACTATCTTCAAGATTATAGTCTCCTCAGGACACAGAACTCACACACAAAGCCATAAGGACTGGTCAGTATCTAAACCACACAGATTACTGAGGTGACTGCAATTCAGAAAAGAGAGAACTCCACAGCAGTAGCTTCAGGAGAGAAACAGGGCTCAGAGCTAGGAATTGAAGAACAGCTGAAATTTGGTTAGGGGAGATGAAGTTGGGGAAGGTCGACAACATGCAAAAATGTTCCCCTTTTGTTTAGCTTGGCTCAGCAATATTTACCGGGAGGTAGCTAGCTTCGGGTCCCAGGTAAATGCTGTGGCTGTCGACATTTCTATCTGTGGCCCTAAATTTAGAAGGCATTGGTAAGCCTACATCCACTATACACTGCTATAGGAAGAGATACATCTCATCCATTCCCACTGCAGAAATGTGGGCAACTGTTGGTAGGGTTAGTCACAGAAAATGAAAAAGGAGGTTATGTTTGGAAGATGATTGCAATTTGAGACAATTTTTCCAATAAGTTCTTTATTAGAATTTACTTTCTTTGGGAAGAAAAATCATTTCCATTAAAACTAAACGAGCCTAATGTTACAAATGACTCATCTGAATCTCATCTTGAGAAAGAAGGATCTAATTCTGTCACCTATAACTGACATTAAGCAGAGCGGCTATTTGTTTGCATATCTCAGTGGTAAAAACCCTCATCTTTCTAAATGATGAATATGCAAACTATTTTTAGGAACTTCTGTTTCAGACAACACAAACTCATATGAAGAAAGCAATCTTCTGAAACAGACTGCTAAACAGAAAAATATTTGTTGTTAGGTGCCATCAAGTTGGTTCCGACTCATAGTGACTCTGTGCACAATAGAAAGAAACACTGCCTGGTCCTGCACCATCCTCACAATCGCTGGCTATGTTTGAGCCCAGTTGCAGCCACTGTATTAATCCATCTAGTTGAGGGTCTTCCTCTTTTTTGCTGACCCTCTACTTTATCAAGCATGATGTCCTTAACAGACAATAGTGTGCCTATCATTTGGGTGGGGAAAATAGTATCCATTGTTGTGTGTATATATATATATATTATAAACGAGCATCAAAGCAGAATTTACGAGGTTTCAAAGGCTGTGGCTAATCTGAACCACTTTAAGGGTAATGCATTATAGCAATTTTATACCACTATAGTAACGTTTTATAACCGGATACTATATGGTGGATTAAAAGAAATCGGGTATGCTTTAAGAATGGCCTCTTACCTACAGAACATTACGGTAAAAATTATTGCTTTCTCATTATTCCTTTTTCTTATTTTATGAATCATGCCTTAAATGTAACAAATAACATAAACATTTAATTTATTACTGACTTTGCCAACAATCTCAACTTTATTTTTTATCTCATTCCTAGTCTGCTTCCTTTCCCACTTCCTAAACAAGCTGCTCCAAACTTGTTCTCCTTCAAGCTCCAGAAACATGATTCTGCCTTCTCCACCTCAGCAGACGAGCTGATCTATTTTAAGGAGATAGCCCATGCATACGATCCTATCCCTAACCGCATCCCCAGAACTTTTTTTTTCCTTTGTCCCTTGTCAATCTTGTGATTTCACCCCCTCTCCCGCTCCCATTTTCAAACATGCTGTCTCCATCCTCTGAAGAACTTCTGATGCTGTTTCTCCTGCAGATACAGCTCTACTTCCTTTCCTTCGCCAACAAGCTTCCTGAATCATGTTCACTTCTCACCTTCCATCTGCTTCTTTACCCGCTGCCATCTGGCTTCCACCTCTACCCACCACTTTGCTGATCCTGCTCTAAAGGTCACCAATGACTTGCTGATTTCCAGATCCATTGACTTATTCTTGGCCGTCTTCTACATTACATATGATGCTGCTCACTATCCTTGTTCTGTCCTGTTGTCCTTCCATCTTTTTGGTCACTCTTCAATCTATTCTGTTATGCTTTCTTTACCCCTGTTAAATATTAAGAAATATATTTGGCTATGACTTCACTGCCTTCTTTTCTACTCAAACTTTCTGCCCAATCTCATCCATTCTGAATGGCTTCAATGATCCTCTACTTAGTGATAACTTCAAAGAATCATACATTTTTTTGAACTATACAGTCACCTCCTTCAGTCCCATATCTCCAACTACTTAGTTTGGTTGCTATGAGTCAGAATCGACTCGATGGCAATGGATTTGGTTTAGTTTGCACATGACATCGGGAAAGACCAATAGCTAGAAAAGGACATCCTGTTTGGCAAAATAGAGGGTTAGCAAAAACTTGATAAACCCTCAATAAGATGGACTGATGCAACAGCCAGAACAATGGATTCAAATATACCAATGATCATGAAGATGGCGCAGGACTGGGCAATGTTTCCTTCTGTTATATATAAGGTTTCCATGAGTTGGAGCCAACTTGACAGCCACTAGTAACAACATCAACCGGAGTTCTCCAAGTGGTATTCCACAGGCCTCTCAAAGGCAACCAAAACAAATATAAATTTTACCTTTTCCTCAATGCTTATACCTCTGCTCTATCTCCTGTCTTGATCAATGGAATTGCCAACTACTCAGCTGTCCAAGCTCGAAATAGTATAATCAACCATGAGTTCTCCTTTGTCCTCATCCCCTACATCCAACTATTCAACAAGTCCCGTGGATTTTATCTGGTTATTTCACTTGTATCTGATCACTTCTCTTCAGTCCTTAGCTTGAGAACATTGGATATTTTCTCTGGATTATTGTAATAACTCTAATTGGTACTTATCCCCTTATCTTTTCACGCTGCCTATTCCTCCTCCACATTAACCGTAAGAGTTGTCTTTTTAAAAGTCTCTTTCTTTAAAAAAACAAAAAACAAAACATAAAACAGTTTCTCTCTGCCTAAAGTATGAAGTCCAGACTCATGATCTCTCCATTATGGACACACTTCAAAACTTTAAAGGAATTCAACTGTGGCTACAGATATAAGTTAAACAAGGCATTTTCAAAAAATAAAATGTTTTGGTTTCACGAAATCTGTTCTCCTAAGTATGTCTGAATTTGTTTAAAAGAACCTTAAACAAAACAAATCTTCCCTCACACAACTACTAGATGAAAACAGACTTATAAGGCTAATTAAAAAAAAAAAAAAAAAAGCTTACTAAACACATGGAGGTTATATATGCAGAAACCCACAACTGATTTAATTTGCAAAACGACAGCTTTAGCTCAGCTAAAGTAAAGATGACTTAGATAAAAACACAACCAGAACACTAAGATAAAAGATAGGGGATAAATAACTTAAGTTGATGGTTTAGCAAGCAAACATCACGGCGTAATATGAAGATCTGGGAAATGTTTTGTAGCAGGAAGCTGGAGTTCTGACTCTAGAGTGTCCCTGGGAGCACAATGCTTTTAGGGAAATCACTGCTTGCTGAAAAAGTGTCATTTATTGGACTATGTCCATTTTACTTGTGAGGATATGGTCATTTTGATGCAGGTGGAGAAATAAGATTTTTAGGTTGAAAATGAAGTTTTGAACATGATACAGGAGATAACTGGTATTTATTAAGATTGTTTTAGAGCCAGAGTTAAATAGTGGAAGGAGCATCAAGCTGGGGGGTGGGGGGAGTGCGCAGTGAGTTGGTTTTGGGTTAAAAAGGGCTTCCGTCTGGTCTTGACTCTGACACCAACAAGCTGTGTGACTTCCTATATTCTGCCTGACTTCTCTGAGTCTCACTTTCCTTGCCTTTAAAATGAAGTACCTGGATAGAATAACACATTCTAAATGCTAAAATTCCATATTTTACTATTTTTATTTCTACTTTTCAAGATTTGGGGAAATTCTAAGAGACAGTTTTTATCCTTAAGATGTAAGAAAAGGGGACAATGAAAAACTCTATTTAGAAACTAACTAGGGCTATTCTTTCTCATCTCCTATAGGGGCGCCATAAGTTGAAAGAGACCTGACAGCAATGGGATTTTTTTTTTTTTATTATTATTCTTTTTCAAGGAGCCCTGGTGATGCAATGTTTAAGTGCTCGGCTGCTTACCAAAAGGTTGGCAGTTCAAACCCACCCAGTGGCTCCACAGGAGAAAGACTTGGCAGTCTGTTCCTGTAAAGATTAACCTATTGCCACTGAGTCAATTCTGACTCATAGCGACCCTGAAGGACAGGGTAGAACTGCCCCATAGAGTTTCCAAAGCTGTAAATCTTTACAGAAGCAGACTGCCACATCTTTCTCCTGTGGAGCAGCTGGTGGGTTTGAACCGCCCACCTTTTAGTTAGCAGTCAAGCGCTTAACCTTATGGGGCAGTTCTACTCTGTCACACAGGGTCGCTCTCGGTCAAAAATTGACTCAAGGGCACCAAACAATAATTCCTCTTTCAGTGAAACATTTGGAGAGTACCAAGTGCATCATCATGTACAGAGAAGCACGTTCCTTCAGATGTGCCCTATGCAGAAATTAAAAGGAGGAAAGGAAGTGAAAGATTTTCAGCCTGGGCTGCATGAGTAGGAATTAATTAGACAGTTCTTGAGGGTCCTTCTACTCATTTGCCTACTCGCTGAAATTTCAGCAATAGGCAATAAAAATATAAGAGTTTAAAAAATGTGTCTAGATTCTCATTATGAATAAAAATGATAATCAGATTCTTTATACACATGCACTTAGCAACATATATTTACTGACCACCTACTAAGTGCCAGGCATGTGCCAGACAAAAGAATGTTAGCTGCTGAAGAGTTGCTTCTGACTCATGGTGACCTCAAGTGGAATGAAACGCTGCCAGTGATCAGCTGGGGATCTGACTGTTGTGATCCACAGGATTTTCACTGACAGATCTTCAGAAGCAGATTGTCAGGTCTTTCTTCCTAGACTGTCTTTGTTTGGAAACTCCAATGAAACCTGTTCAGCATCACAACAACAGGAAAGTCTCCACTGACAGACACGTGGTGGCTGTGCATCGGGTGCACTGGCCTGAAATTGAACCTGGGTCTCCTGCACGGAAGGCAAGAATTCTACCACTGAACTATCACTGCCCTCTTATTATTGTTGTTGTTAGATGCCATCGAATTGGTTCCAACTCATAGATACCCGAAGTATAACAGAATGAAACACCGCCCGGTCCTGTGCCATCCTCATAATCGCTGTTATGCTTGAGCCCATTGTTGCAGCCACTGTGTCAATCCATCTCATTGAGGGTCTTCCTCTTTTTCACTGACCCTCTACTTTACCAAGCATAATGTCCTTCTCCAGGGACTGTTTCCCCCTGATAATGTGTCCAAAGTAAGCAGGACAGTCTCACCAACCTTGCTTCTAGGGAGCATTCTGGATGTACTTCTTCCAAAACAGATTTGTTCATCTTCTGGCAGTCCACGGTATATTCAATATTCTTTGCCAACATCCTAATTCAGAGGCATCAATTCTTCTTAAGTCTTCCCTATTCATTGTCCGGCTTTTGCAGGGATATGAGGCAATAGAAAACACCATGGCTTGGGTCAGACGAACCTTAGTCCTCAAAGTGACATCTTGGCTTTTTAACACTTCAAAGAGGTCTTTTGCAGTACATTCGTCCAATGCAATATGTCATTTGATTTCTTCACTGCTGCTTCCATGGGTGTTGAGTGTGCATCCAAGTAAAATGAAATCCTTGACAACTTTAATATTTTCTCTGTTTATCATGATGTTGCTTATTGGTCCAGTTGTGAGGAGTTTTGTTTTATGCTGA